TCCGCCGAGTAATTTGATCCTGAATAGTTACCCTCAACCTTTTGTGACACTGCATTTGAGGCAAACATTAACATAACTCTATCTATTCATAACTCAATTATAAATATCATTAAAACAGTACTAGTATTCACTGCAAACAACTAAGTCTACAAAACAAGACATTCAATGATTGAGTCAAAACCAAATAAAACAAATATCGATGTCATCTAAAAGTTATATAAATTAAAACATCAGAAAATGCCAAACACAACAAAACTGGTAATCAATTCTCTAAAAATACATTAAATTTAAATCTAAAATCAAATAAAAACTTGTCGTTTGACACTAAAAAATTTCTAATTTAATTAAACATTTCAAATATGATGTAAAATTTTAAACTTTGACTGACTATTTATTAAATGTTTGGATAAAATGTAATATTTAATGAATAATTCAATCCAAGTCTGACAAGAATTTCAATTCAATATATCATTGAATAAAATTTTAAACAAAAAATTAATTAATTTAAGTACTTATAAAAAATGAAAAATCAAATAAAATTCTTAATCAAAGCATAGTTGAAGTGAAAAACAATTTAAGTTTTTCTAAACTTAAGATGAAATGACCTCTTCTGGGAACTGGATTTGCTTAATATATTGCATAAACGCTATAAAAACTATCGGTTAAGACTTTATTGAAATAAAAAGTATAAAAACTTATAAAGTATAAAGTATAAAATCCAAAGTTTAGTAAATACCGTACTGTATAATACTGTACTGTATAATACTGTACTACAGTATGTATACGCCTAAAACTAGAGTAATAAATGTGAATTTCGTGAACAAACATTTTACGCAAACAATTTGAATATATCGTAAAAATAAAAATTTCAATAATTTATGCTTTTTCTCACAACTCTTACGAATGTGATTCATATCATGTTTGTCCCAATAATTTATATAAATCAGACTATAGTTATCTATAAATAAATAAAAACAATTCCCAAATACAACAATTTAAGTTTTTCTAAACTTAAGATGAAATGACCTCTTCTGGGAACTGGATTTGCTTAATATATTGCATAAACGCTATAAAAACTATCGGTTAAGACTTTATTGAAATAAAAAGTATAAAAACTCAAAATCCAAAGTTTAGTAAATACCGTACTGTATAATACTGTACTACAGTATGTATACGCCTAAAACTAGAGTAATAAATGTGAATTTCGTGAACAAACATTTTACGCAAACAATTTGAATATATCGTAAAAATAAAATTTCAATAATTTATGCTTTTTCTCACAACTCTTACGAATGTGATTCATATCATGTTTGTCCCAATAATTTATATAAATCAGACTATAGTTATCTATAAATAAATAAAAACAATTCCCAAATACTATGGAGTGATAAGACATACAAATTTCAATTCTTGTCGTTTCCCCGCATTTCAAATGGCTTTAAGTATGAATTGACTGACAATAAGAAAAAAGGCAATTAATAACTTTTAATACACTTTACTTTTTTGATAAACATAAAAACAAATCCACTAAATGTTTGAGCATTTTCTTTTTTGTTTCAATCAAATAATTTTCAAATTAATTCCAAAATTTATGAAATTATTTTAGAAATTAGTCTCAAATCGTGTTAATATCAATAAAACTTACAAATTATTTGTATCTAAACAAACAATCTATCATTTAGTGCTATTTTTGAATTAATTATAAATAAATTTAAACCAAATTTTAGTAAAAAATCACAAAACAAAACATTAAAAAGCTTTTAATAAAATATCTTAATTACAAAATATAAATTATTTCAAAAATGATTTAATAGTTAATAGATTAATAAAAAAATATTGCAATATAGAGTACACTTTAAAATTAACTCTTACAGTAATGTGAATACTATACAGAATTCTACACTTATGTATACTATACAGAATAAATGAGTCTATTGTTCATTTAGTAAGCTTTCAAAAAGTCGACAAATCTCTTTAACTGACTGTCTCTTAAAAAAGCAAACATTTTGAACACTTGTTTTAAATGCAAAATAATTGAGACTTTCTTTGGAGCCAATGTTCTCAAGACTACGAGTGTTTCGGAATGTTTTGGAAGTGACGGCACTTTTGGATAAACACAAGTATTTTATATATTCGTTATATCCCTTCAGACCTACAATATAAATGACCCGAAACTTCAAATTGACTGAATCTAAAGTTTGTTTTAAAATTAAACCGTATGTATGCGAATATAATATATTATATACCTTTAGACCGAGACTATCAAAATGAAAACCTTGAACTCAGTGCTACTAAACCCAGAATTGACCGAAAATATGAGAAGGTGTGTCAAAGTTTGTACTGTATTGCAGTCAGTGAAAGCATTGAATTGAATTGAATTTGTGAATATAATAGATACTTATGTGCGGCAAATGATTGAGCAAATTATAACTGATAATTAGCGGTCATTTATTCATGCGATCGATCTCTTGCAACAACCCTTTGATTTAGTTAACACTTATGGCATAATGTCGTGCATTAAACAGTTTTCCAAGTCATGCATATTTGCCATTCATTTAAATTATAATTCAAACCAAACAAATCTCAAGAGAGTAATGGTTAACAAAATGGTGCGAGACTTACGTTTGTGAGCGCGAGGTTGAGGGGCCGGCCTTTGGAGTCCTGTCAAAGGAATATCATCTCCTCTTTGCACCGAAAGGTAAACATCTCGAGAGGTCGGCGACAGACCTTTCAATTTAATAAGTTTTATTGTAAACAATTGTCTATAGACTGCAATCTAAATATGAAAATTCTTACCTTTCTTCGAGTCTTTCTTCTTAATAATATAAGAAGAATCCGATTCATAACCACTGCCTGTAGTCAGTGTATTGAAGACACAATTCGGGTGGTGATAGGGTTGGGGATGAGTGCTACCTGTCCTGTAAGGCTGGTGTAAGTCCATGTCATCTCTACTTTCCTGTAAATGTGATCAATTAACATGAAAATTCACATTTGCTATTTCGGTTTATAATGTATAAAATCACTGAAACTTTGAGTTTATATATACTCTAATAAATGCAATTCAAGACCTGAATCGTGTGGACGCGGGATAGCATTGGAGGAATAATGTTAGCGTTGCTGTGAGGCATCGGTTCCTGTTATGCAATCATTTTGTTAATCGTTTGCATTAATGTTTGATTAATTAATGGAAAGTGCAATGAAAAATGAAAATGAAATAACGAAAAATAAGTTAAACGATCTATAGGTTTGGTGTGTATTATACGGATAGACCAGTTGGCAAAGCAGTTGTTATCTTACCTGACAGGTAGTAGAGAAGACCTCAGCAAATATTGAGTCGATATAATTGAATATATGGTCGTAAAACTTATTAGGAATTAGCGATTATTATTAGAAAGAGAACCAAAAGTTTAGTGTTTAGTATAAAAGTTAATTCAGTTTTGAAAGCAATGTTTGAAAAGCAGACAAATGACACACAAAGAGATGTTGAGAATAAACATTGAATTAGAAAAATCGAGTTGTACTCACCATTTGTTTTTCAAGTTCAGATATACTGGAATGTCCCGGTTCGTAGTCAGCAATGTTTTTTGGCACATATATGTGTCGGCGCTTACTTTCTTCTTCATGGAGTCCGGGACTGAGCCGATAGTCTATCGATTCATAATAATAAGAGAAATGAGTTCAACAAACGAGTACAGAGTGTGCGAGCGAATGGATGGTTCAATGCATACCTCTTCCCTTATATTTAGTGGGCTTTACTTTGATTTTGAAAGCCTCGTCCTCTTGAGGGTGAGTTCTGTCGAATTTATGCATTTTCCTGACCCAAGCCTTATACCAATCGGACGTGTATTCATCCTTTACGCCCTTCAATAATACATACATTACGAAATCATTCAGACGTTTCTCAAAAAATAGTGTAAAACATACAGATTTCAGTGCAATAGGTATTCCACTTTCAGTGACAGGTCCTATGCCTTCCGATTTAGGCGGAGCTGTGATTTTTCTGGTTGTGGTCACAGTTTCCGTTTCGGTTGGAAGAGTAAAATATTTGGTATTATCTGTTTCGTACAGATATTTAGCACTGGAAGGGGGCGGGAGGTCTGTTATGATTTGCCGGTGTATATGCCGTTCAGTCTGTGGTTTGTGATGGAGTTGTATATGAGATGACTGACGAGTGTCTTGTTTTTGGAGTTCGTTCTCGTCTTCTATTAAGTATTGAGTTTTAGTGGCCGTCGCTATGTTTCGGGGAAGAGTCCAATACTTGTGCACCGGAGTCACCGTCTGGTTCGGGTCGTAGATGTCCGTCAAGTTCTCTATTTGATGATCATTTGGTGTCACTTCACTAGCTGTCGGTGAGTGAGAAACTATCAAATGACTGTCCGATTGATATTTAACACCAGACGAGGAAGTGGTCAGTTTTAAGGGGTGATGATAGCTATCGCCAATTGATTGGTGGTCTGGGGTTGAGAAGTGTAGAGCTGTTGCAGGAATTGTCGTCTCAGTGCTCGACGAACTGTTGGTTGTGCTGCCGGGGCTCCAGACTATCAAGTAATTCATGTAATTAATTAATATATTTTCATTTTAATGGTAATTCAGTAAATGGTTTATTGAGACAAATAATCCTTATAATTAATTTAATATATATGAGAAATATACTAAAAATCAATAAATTTCAACAAAACTTTAAGATGTTGAAATAAAATAAAATAAACTCAATTTGTACCGGTATTTAGAAGTATTAAATGAAAAATTTAATTAACTTTGAGAATTTTATTATTTTTAATAACTTTTATCGATTAACAAAACAATAAATATTGTTTTTAAAATAATCCTGTCGTTGATCTAATAACCAGAATAATAGCAAACAAACCACGAGTTTATAATAATGTTTATTCAATTATTCTTTGACCAAATATTTGGTTCAAATATAAACTCACTTTTATTTTATTGACATTTCAATGAAATGTTTAAATAAATGAATGAATATAAGAAATAAATGAATACAAGTAAATTAAATTAAACAAATGTTTTCTAGAATACGGTACTTTATATTAAAACAAATTAAATAAAATAATAAATATTAAAAATATAATACATGGAGTAATCAATGTAATTGCCAAATACATTAAAGTTATCAACACTAGAAAAATGTAATAAAACTCAATTTAAATGAAGTAATTTTTTCAAATACTTTAGATATGAAAAGACCTAAAATTAAAGGTCTCATTCATTACTTAAAATAAATTATCTTGTAGACTCATAAAATAGTATCTAATCAGTGCTTATAATTACAGATCGTGTATAAAATTGTATAAAAAGCAATAATTTTACGAAATCTAAAAAATATATTTAATTTACAGATTTGGGAATAAATTTCTCGTAGGTTTGGGCCCCAAAATAAGGTCTGCAGCAAAATTGTTTTGCAAATAATACTTAATCAAATAAGACTAAATTCCTGAAAAATAGCTATAATTACAGTGATTTTAGTAGCTGTGCGTACCTTTGGCTGCATTTTGACCACAATATCATATAATGTATATAATGTATTGCATGGATTGGATGCACTGGTTGGTGGTAAAGTGGGTCAGTGAAGGTTATGTTCAATGCAAACGCCATTCACTCCAACTGTCATTTAAATAACTTATGCCATATAAATGTGCTCAAGAAAGCTATAATATATCCCCTGTAAACACGTTTTCAAATATCATATCAATCACAGAGACTCCCATTAATACAACTGATATTAAGATAAAAATTAAAACTCTATTTTCGTTTATATGAGTTACAGTTACTGTAACTGTAAGGCAGCAAAACATTTTAATGGTCTCAACACAGCGTCCAAATATTGCCTAAGTCTCCAAATATTGTGTTTATAAATAACATCAATAATCTCATCGACTTTGATATAATAACTGTAATGCGATTAATCAGAAATATTTTATATATTTTACGCACCCATACATACATTAGGGAACTTTACTGGGAATTATGGAAACCATTTCCATTTATGTAATATATTGAAATATTATTGCAGAATATAAGTCCAAATATTATATAAATTATTCAAATCATTTGTTGTCAATGTTTTTAATATTTTATCGGATTTAGTACTGGATTATCTTTACGATTACATTCTTAATAAATTATTTTGGGTAAAGTTTCATAGGAGACAAACACAAAGTGACCGACAATTTAATTAATTAAAATTAAAGCTAGTTTTAAATACAAATTTAATACTATTATTCTAGTCTCTCTCTCTCTCTCTCTCTCTCTCTCTCTCTCACACACACACACACACATCAAAATTAGACCAATAAATGATTTAATATTATTTTAAAACCGATATTTAATCTGTTTGTTTACACATAACACTCAATATTATGTTTATGAGTTGACATAACATCCGATTTATGGATAATTGCAAACATTTTGAAGTTCTCGCAAAATACCATTGAACATAAAAATTAAAATCCCAGTCATTCTCGTAATAAAACTCAAATAAGACTTTGGAAAATAATTTTATGCAAAATATACATAAAATAATTTTGCATTAAATGCAATAAAAATTATAAATATAATGATTTGTTGTTATAAATAACCCTAAAGCAATACCAATCATCAAAAATTGTATTCAAACTCTGAGATCTAACATTTTCATAACAAACCAGATTTCATCAAAATATTGACGATTGGATTAAAAAATAATTCAACAATTTTATGGATATAATTATATCATATAATTATAATCTAATTTTAAAATAATGACTAATTATTACTTCAATCAAGTGTTCAATCGGTAACATAAAAGGATCGGGAAGAGTATAAATACAGTACATACACCATAAAGTATATTCAGTGTATTTTTAAACTAACTTTTTAGGTCTTTGATAATCATAAGTAAATTTGAAAGCGTTTCCGAAAATAATACGATTTCTGTTTCAAAAAATTATATTTAAATGAGTGATAGGAAGAGCTTTTGTACTCAATTCGCGCATTCAATGAAAGGCTCACAAGTCTTGTATTGAATATGAATGTAATGTCAGTTCAGTTCAGTTCTGGTGAGCGTTTGTTCCGATTCTAGGATTGGATTCTGTCTTACGGTTCGCTTTTCAACTATTTTGTCACTAAATATTAGGTGTGGGTGGAGATGAACATCGAGTTGGAGTGAACCGGCTATTAATTGCATAAATTTTAAAACACAGTACACAACTCTGTATATTTGTTTTTAGATTTTGTAATATTTACTTAAACTATGTTTTTCTCGGATTTACTCTATTTTCGTCAGAGAATACAGAAAAATAGAAATGAAAAACAAATTATTAGAAAATAAATACAATTTAGGAAAAGGAATAATAAATAAGTGGAATAGGATTACAATATGGTGTAGAGAGAGAGAGAGAGAGAAACAATAAATGTTTGATTAAATGACTGGTTTTGTATTATAGTGACGAAGAAATCGATGCAAGAGTTGTAAAAGTTATATAAAAAGACTAAACAATATAACGTTGAAAGTGAAAAACAGAGCACGACTTCAAAGACTAAGTTTATTACATAAAAGATTGTGAAATATAAGGCTTTCCCAAAATAATCCAAAGATAACTAAACGACAACAGAGTTGGCAAAACTTGTGTCTTAAGAGAGTCAGCGAAGTAGTCACCGGTAGTGGTGTGTATTGAGAGCACAGTTAGACTACTGTTAGCATGAAATCAAAACATCTCTCCGTTTTTAATGGCAGTGAAGCGTTTAAAATAAAAAGCATTGCATTAGTTATGGCTTCAGATGAGAGACAACTAATACTACAAAACCAATACTTTTCACATTTTCGCAAAAACATTATTTTACGCTTAATATGAAAAATGGATAGAAAGTAGACTTAGTTTTGGTACCATTTTTTGGTGCTTTGGCTTTGAATGTGGGGCCGGCGATGGCGGGCATATCGCTATCATCTGAATCAGGAGACAACGCTAATGGAAGGATATCTGATGTCTTATCACTTTGTTGGTCGATGTGTTCAAAGAAGGCGGTCTGCGATTCGGGATCTTCACCAAAGTCTATGTCAGGCGGAGGTATGAGCACATCGTTGCCATCCAAGTCCTCACAGGGAGACAGAATCTCTTCCTCACTGTGCTGTTGGTGTAGGGCTTAAGACATAAAATATTTGCGTTAATTATTCAAATGCTTTTCACGAGAATCACTCTTCAAATCAAGTAAAACTTTGCAACAATTTGCTTGATTTAAGTGTAAAACAAAACGAAAAAGAGTTTATAATAAAAGTTGACGCTTTTGTGAGTCGATTACATCAACGATTCTAACGAATAGTCATTAAATGTATTTATTTTGATAACTTTAACAATAATTAAAATGCAGTGAAATGTATGGAAAAGCGCACAAAAGAGAGGATACAGTAAAGCAATAATTGGATGAATGAATGAAAAGCAGACATAAATGTTAAAGATTTCGACTTTTGATGCAAACGAGTGATCAGAGCATCACTTCAGAGATGAGACACACAACTGAATAACACGCGTGTCTTAAACACTCATCCCTTACTGTCCTTACTATTTATGGAAATTACTAAAATAGTTAGCATTAAAGCCAACAAAACAAGACTCTCTACACTCGCAATAATACAATTCCCTAAACCAATACTTTTTGCACTATTCCTAACGCTTGTCGCTTATTATTTATTTATTACTAAAACACATAAATAAACAAATTTTTAAATACCAGTCCATTATATTCAACAAATTCAAATGTTTAACCATTTATTAAATATTTGGCCTCAAAAACATAGTAATAATAAAGACATGAAATGTTGAGAAATAAATGTATTTTTAAAATTGCACTCAAAGTATAGGTGCGACAAATTTGACAAGAGATAAGCCTTGAGTATATTATGTGACACAACACGACACGATCAGACATTAACCGCAAAATATCTTGAAAACTATCAAAACGTAATTTACATACATATGACATAATCAATGATTTATCAATTAATTACCAGTGCTATCATCACTGCAAGCATATGAATAGTATTTGTGAGATGAGGCGGAACTCAGGTCTTCGTCGTCCTCCTCATCGATAGTTTCCAAACCGCCGATGAGTTGCGGCAACACATTGTCGGACATAAACTCGTGAACATAACCGTAACAAACATTATAATGCAGTGAACTTTCATTTAATGTTTCGTTGATCTCGTGTTCAGAGTTGCTATCAATTGAGTCCTCGCACTCATAGTCATGGCATTCATCGTCTTTATCACTGTTTTCCTCATCACTAATATATATAAATTCAGCAAATTTTTCGACGTTTTCGTCACTATGTCTGAGAAAGTCATTGAGAAGTTTAAGCTCTCGGCGCGAACTGCACTCAACTTTTTTCAAAGCCATTCATACAGTTATTTCATTTTCATTTCATATCTTTATTACTAAAAATACTGTAAAAATCACAAAAATAACACTCATTTTTAGTAAATATATTCCAGTAATCAATAGTCTGTCACAAGTTATACAACAAATGTTTGATGGAAAACAAATACAACAAAATACAGTTCAAAAGCGATCGGATAACACATTGAAATGCATTTTACAATTCATGGCCAAACAGTCGGCATACCAACGCCCCATAGCCTTAGTGTTGGCCCAATACTAATACAGTAGAAAACTTATGTGACTCTCATCCGAGTCCCTCAACCCTCAGCTTAAAACTGTATTCACAAATATACTACTTTTGGAAATGTTGCGCAAATTAAAGCACTAAAACCATATCGTAATAGACTATCACTATTAGTATTAGTCTTATAGACGATAGAGAGTCCTGTATTAGCCATCGCTTGCATGAGCCAAATGTGAGCAAAAATTATAGAATGCTTTCTATATATTGAATATAAGATTATCTGATAATATGTTATCATTAACTAAAAAACAGGAAAACTATGAAAACTAGCGAACAATGAAGAGATAGAGAGCCAAAGAGCCAACTAATGGAATACAGGACACAATCAATGGGCGGAACAGTTAAAACAATTTATGCTTTTTTCATGTCATTGTATTTAATGCAACGAATGAAGTTTGAAAATACTGAACAAATCGTAAATAAACGTCTAATTATGGATAATACAAAGTAAACATCACATGTAACATACCCTCGTCATCCTCGTCCTCCACGTGATAGTATATATGTCGGGCCAACTCCGAGTCGCTGTGCCTATTGTAGTGACAGACAAATCAAGAACTCTAATTAACACAACTTTTCCGATGATTGCAACAAAACAATAACAATTCATGTGTTGTCTGAGTTTGTCATCACTTGTATAGTGAAGTCAGTCATCAGAAGGTGTTTTGTTTTGTTATTGAGTTAGAGATAGAAATATAAAGTTTAGTAAGTATTGAGCCAAACCTGCGAACACTTAAATGCAACTGTCGGTTGAGTGTGTGTTTAATTAATTGATAAGTAAAGTCAAGTTTTGTCAATTGGTCCGATTCGCTAATCTCTGCAATTATTACAGTCATTGTATTAGTATTAGGCAAACAATATTGATAGTAAATGTGAAAACAATTTTTATAATGTATTATAAAAGACTATTCAACAAAAGCCAGCAAATATCACGAACTGAGAACAGTTCTCAAAGTCTTAAATAAAAATGAGTGTTTGCTTTTTGGAGGTATTTTATTTGGTTAAACATTAGTGAGCCCACCCTTAGAGTCCTGTTCCTCAGTCTGCCGGTGCAAAGTGAGAGGATGTTTATCCACTTCGAAATTGTTGACTACATTTCAGAAAAGGAGACAAAATATAAAGTTTAATAACAATAAAATCCGTAATAACGTTATCGTTATTTTAATGAATGTGAACTAAATGAATGTTGTATTAAAATAATGGAAATTAAGTGTAAAAGTAAGGCATACCTGCGATGATCTCATCGTGTACTCTAAGCCCACTCTTGGAGGCTCTGCTGCCGCAGTTGATCTGTATTTGCAAAACACAACCAAAACTCAATCATTTGTTACTTTAGTGTTGTTTGAAAGTAGAGTGAAATAAGGTTTCAAATACACTACTCTAACTGTTATACTGTAGTCCTAATTATAAGTTATTTGTTAAATAAAAAGCCATATGCCATATGCTCCCTATGTTTGCACTTCTATTATGCAATTAATTGAACGTAAAGTACCAGTATAATAAAAATACAATAGATAATAATAATATAGTAATAGTATATATTGGATGGGAATGGTGTATAAAAGGCAGAGATGACAACATTGGCAGTATAAGGTGACAATTGTAAGTAAGTAAGCAATAATATGAGGCACACATACAATTTTTGTCTTTTTACTCTTTTTGTTTTTGCCAAATAATTTCCTCAATAATAGCATTATTACTATTCATTCATATGGTCTGATAGTTAGGACCAAAACTTTAATTAAAACTCAAAAAAGAGAGAGAATTCACACACAAGACAACTAAAACTCAATAAATTGAACCATTAATTGAAACACATTTGAGAATTCATTAGCCATTGACCAGCACAAGAATTAACAAAATGATATTTATTTGCCTCGATTTTCGCACAACATATACCGGTAAATAACTATTGTATAACTAAAATAAGTGTAAAAAAGGCACTTTCATTGCGGATGAATAGCTAAATATTGAAGAGTGTGTCTAACACTTAATCAGTGGTATGGGTTTGGGTGGAGTGGTGGTGGAGCGCAACCATATCTAAATGCATGGAATTATCAAATTACATAAACTCCAAGCCAAACAAACTTATTAACAAAACCTCTAACATTATCTCTGATTAAACTTAATGAAAATTGATATAATAAACAATGTTTTCATTATAATGAAAAACAACGTCAGTTTTATGCTATTTATAAAAATTTTCAATTGCTCTTAATTATTGATTACCAGCATATGATGGACACCAGTCATAGGCGGACCACAAAAATTACAAAATTAAAAACATCGTTAAAACACACAGACATGTGCTATATTACCGTAAATCAACACAACATTCAAGATCTGCGATAATAAATAAATTTAATTTTTAATTTAATACAGTCGTTTAATATATTCTAGCGTTAAGTCAGACCTTAAAACACAAATGAATAATATATGAAATGAAAAATTATATTTTAAAGTAACAATAATTTATAAAAAAATATGCATAAAAGCATAAAAAAGACTGTAAAAAGAGTGAAACTACAGGAAATGTATGGACTCGTGGTATTGGGTTTGTAATGAAAATGAAGAGGTGGTTGAATGCGTGCATTCATTATATTGCATATTAGATGCAAATTAAAGACAATAGAAAAGTGAAAAATTAAACACACGATTACAGCATCACATCTGAAGGACATACCACTTCTACAGGACTTCTACACTATAATATTATTTATATTAATTGATTAATACAATTGCAGTCAATTGAATGCAATGAATGGGTCGCTCAATGAATTGCTTTAAACGAGTAGTGGTATTAGAAAAGTGAAACGCAAACAGTTTTCAAACTTATTTAATAGTAATTGAAAGAAATGTCTAAAAAAGAAATAAATATTCCGATAATATAGAAAAGACACAATAAAATAAAATAAAACAAAATTTTTAGAAATAAAAGCGAGAAAATTGTGAGTTTAGGAAGAATTTGTTGACAAAAATAAAATCTGAATTTAAAACAAGAGATGTATTTGTCGTGAAACTGATTTTTCATGTCAATCGCTATTATATTAGTACAGTTTGAGTCTAACTCTTATTTACTTCATACTTCATATTTGGCCTAATATTCAATATAATCTGGATATATTATATTTATAGCCGTGATATGGACTCTATTGACAACCACTAACACAATGGTGTTTAGAGATTGATTCATCGCAAAGATCACTCATTCATTCATTATATGATGGCATAAAAAGGCTATACATTTGTGTGTGAATTGTTTGAATGATAAAATATAAATACAATTTAAACAAAAATAGAGCAAAATATTTGTCATTTAGTTGAACAGTAAATATTTTTGACAAAATAAGAGGGATATACAGTACTATTGATAAACTAGTTTTGTATGTTTTTTGATAAATGAAAGGTCTGAATGAATGACATATAAATAAAATTCTAGTTTTATTGCAACAAAAATAACATTAAGTCCAATGCGAGGGAGAAATATATGGCGAGAAAACAGATCATTGACTGCATTGACTGCAAACATCATTACATACTTCTGGCACTTTGGCCACAGAGTCCACTCAATTCACTGATTCATAGCAAACATCAATTGATTGTGTTTTACACACTTTAACGGCACTAATAATCAATTCATTATTTATAACTCAATCCATGTCATCAAGTCATTAATTATGAAAAATAAAATTTCAAAAAGCAAAAATTAGTTAAACATTTGTTTCTGTCTAATTAGCTTATTTAAATATTACGATATGAATTATTATTATTGAATAATGTATATATTAATAATAATCGTATAACATATATGGTATAAATTATTAATTGATTACTTGATCACAAAAAGTGTTTCCAATATTACAATCCATAATAACATAACAATTGAAACATAAACTCACAATAAATGCACTAAATATCCATCACTTGATATGTGTTACAAATTTTATTGTCAACTATTGTCTCAAGAATTGTATACAATTAAAACAATTAAAACAATAAATGCATTAATTTGTGCCTTACTTTGATGCAATAAAATAAAAAAAATTGTTTCACTTTAAAAAACATCAGATATAATGGTTTGCATATAATCTATAAATCATTTAATGAATCAAATCTTTTTTAATGCATTCTTTGCGTTCATTTTTCACTTGTTTTTGCAGTAAATGTTTGCATCAAATAAAAGGAGGAAAACTAATCGATTGAATGAGACATTGAGTTTAAAATGTAATTACAGTATAAGACATACAAAACAATTTGTGGTCACAAAACACACGTACAATACAAACGTAACACTCTATCCGTTGTATTGGATGCGAGAAAATAGATATCAATACAAAATATAACAAGTATTGAGAAATTGAATGAAATTCATTGAATTCATGTAAAACTAAGCCCTGTTTTGTGTGCAAATCAATACTCGTTTTCATAAATTTATCTCAAATAATGTATAAAATAAATAATAAAAAGCCATTCATTTGACGGCAATATAAGCGGCAAAAAGCGATAAAAACAGTTATAAACGGTTTATAATGAATGAGATTGCAATCAATTATATGACGAGTAGTGCAATAAAAAGGTATCAAAATAAATGTGATTTCAAAGTATAGCTGTATTTGAGGATAAATTTGAGGATAAATTGCAACAAAATGTAAATATGTTTGTTATTCAAGGATAGGGTGTTTTGACTGCAAGTTAGAGACAATGAATACATGAATACCTTGGAGACGATCACCCGATCCCTGCGCTGTTTGATGCGGAAGCCCCAGGGGGGCCCTCCCTTGAGTGTGAAATTGAGCAAGTGCACCTCCATGTCCAACTGACCTACACTTTGGTCCATTGATTTGGTAATCATTGAGTCACACCAATCGTAAATAAATATAAGCACTATTTGTATGGCATATAGTCGCCGCCAAAATGTGAGATACACTATAGATATGATCACAGTTTGCAAGTCCTTCACAACTGCCAGCTGTAGTCACACTGACTATGCAATTGGTTAGACCCATAACCCTGGCATCGCTGCCACCACTCACACACGCACTCCACTGACCACTCAGTCGGCCATCAGTGCCCGCATTCGCCCGCATATGGCATCACATCTCATCGCATATTCACTACATTTGAGTCACTTTCACGACATTCACCACACTTTGCAACACTTGTCAAACCCATTGAAAACACTGCTACAGACCTCTAGTCAATTACCTCATCCCTGCATCCCTTCCCACCCCTCCATCAACACA